CTGGACCCCAGCCCGGAGAGCCTCAACCCCTGAATGATAGTCTTCCTGAGACATTTGCAACTAGCAAGGGTTGGGAGACACTTCATTCCTCCTTGATTCACTTACCACCTATTTATTGAACCTGTGTCCGCTATGTAGCAGGCAGTATTCTGGACACTGAGGATACAGCCGTGAGAAACGAGACAGGAAGACCCTGTGTAAGTAAGTGGACGCTAGTGGGCTAGGAGACAAGTACTGTAAACCACGCAGGATGGGGAGCAGCTGGGGTGCCCGCTGGGGTGGGGGGAGTCCTGTAGTTTTCAGTGGAGTGGGCTAGAGCGGGGCATTTGATCGAAGGCTTGAAGGAAGGAAGGAGGGCATCATGTCAGTAGCTGAGGGAACAGCAGTCCAGGTGGATGGAATGGCCCGTGCAAAGACCCAGAGGCAGGCGCATGCCCACTGTTCAGGGAAGGCAAGAGACCTGTGAGGCTGGGTGCAGTGAGCTGAAGAATAGTGGGAAGACGGGAGGTCGGAGAGCAGAGGCTGGATCGGGAGGAGGGTGGGCAGGGAGACCTTGCAGGCCAATGAAATGACTTTGGCTCTTGGTATGAAATGAGCGATCAGTGGAGATTTGCAGTAGTGCAGTGGCTTGCTCGGACTTTTGTTTTAAAGGGATCCCGTCCATTTCTTTGATAAGAATAGACTATAAGGCAGCCAGAGTGGAATGAGGGAAGCCAGGGAGGAGGCCATTGCAGTGATCCAGGCAGCAGGGGATGGTGGTGGTACAGGCGGGACCTTTTCTCTACCTCTTGACAGTTGCCCTGGAGGCAGGATGTGAAATTCCTAGACCTTAACTATCTTAGCTATAACTGCACAGTGGTCAGAACCCTTCCTGTCATAGGCGGCAGGAACCCAAACTCAAATCAACTTAGATTAAAAAAAAAAAAAAAAAAAGCATGGTATGGATCAGGCATGGCTTGATCCAGCAGCTCAGTATCATCAGGACAGGACCACTCTTCCTCCCTCTTTCCTTCACTCAGCTTTCCTCTGATCTGGCTTCAGTTTTAGGGAGACCTCTACCTGATAGCCCCTGAAAGCTCCTGGCCACCCACACTGACAGAGAGCTTTGTTTCCCAAGTGTTCCAATCAGAGTCTCAGAATTGAGCTTTGCTGGCCTGCTGTCAGTCACTTGCTCTTTTCTGAACCAGTCACTGTGGTCAGGAGGAGGGCCCACTGTGATTGTCCAGACCAGAGTCAAGTGCCCTCCCTGCACTTGAGGCAGTTAGACAGCCCTGGCCGAATGCCAAGGGCTCAGAGGGGAGGGAGAAACAGTCCTTGAAATGACCCCAGAGGCAGAAGAGAGGGACGGCCAGAAGGCAAGAATACAAGACAGTCATTCAACTCCATACCAGAGACCCTGCTCTGGCGAGTAGAGGAAGAAAAGTGAAAGAAAATGAAAAAAACCAAAAACCACTTTCTTGGGTATGCTTCAGTGTGGTCCTAGCCAGAAGCTGAGACCTTCAGTAACTTCTGGCAAATTCTTAGTGGTGTCCTACGTCCTGTGCATACTCTAAGCATCCTCCTCACTGACTAAATGAGGAAAGCTCGGTTGAGGCTTGTAATGAACCACGGAGGTGGCGAGGACCTGTATGGGGCCTTTGCTGGCCATGTTACCTCTGCTCATGAGGACAGAGGAGAAGACGGTCACTGCTGTTGTCTGAACTCTCCGGCAGTGCCCTTGGCAATTGGCGCTGCTGAGGAAAGGGGTCAGACACCCACCGAGTCCCCAGAACACAGCCGGGACGCTACTGCATCTCATTACAGCCCTTCAGGGCAGCCGCCTCGCTTCCCTCTTTACCTAATGGGAGGACCAAGGCCTCGCTCCCGGAGGGCTCCCCCGTCCCCGGGGCTCAGGAAGACCTGGGAGTCCCTTCCAGCCCTCACCGACAAGCTAGCTCTTCTCTCTGAAAGGCTTTCCCTGTCTCAGGATGAAGCTAACAGCAGCTAGCCCCGTCCTGGCCGGTTACCGTGGGGTTGGACTAGGGTCAGAGCCCAGGGCCTGCCTGGATGGCTCCTGCTGTGTGACAGGTCCCCAGGGGGTCAGGCGCTCTCAGCTCACCAGGAGAGGAAGCGTGTCTGGTGTGCTCAGCGATTAGACCCTAGCCCCTGGCTGCGCGGACACAGATCCGGAAACGTGGGTGGAACAGAGGCGGGAGCGGGAAAGGAAGGCGAATGCACGAATCAGTGGAGGAGTCAGGTAGATGGAGGAATCCGGCCAGTGGGTGCCCGGAGTCCGACTGAAATCTGCTACTCTAGGGGAATGAGCGGAAGGCTTCCCGCTGATTTCTGCAGCTCCCCCAGGAGCCTGGGACTCAGGGGCCAGAATGAAAGCTGCTGGGAGGTGAGAAGGCTGGTCCCTGCCTGGAGGAGCAGCGGTGCTCTCCTAGGGCTCCCCTCAGGGGGCTGTGTCCTAGCTCTGCGCGGGTTCCCGGAGCCCAGGCTGGCGGTGGGACCTGGGGCACCCCAGGGAAGCGTTCATGTGACCATCACAGCACTGACGTCCGCTAGAGAGTCTATGCTCTGCTGTTGTCAGAGTAGCATTTTGTTCTCGTTCACACCGTTCCTTGTCCCTTTCTCCTCTCTTACCTTTATTAGGAAAACCTGCAGACACAACGCAGAAGTAGAGGGAAGCAGTGAGACTAGAGTAATGAACACAGTGATCACTCCCCAGCCCGTCTTGTTTCATCTTCCAGGCTCGTCACACTGTCTCCCAGTTATGTGTTACCCGGAAGTCAGTTACAAGCATGTTATTTGGCCTGTAAATATGATAATGTTCTCAAGGGTGGGAACTGCCACTAACAAAAGCATGGCAGCGGTGTTTTCGTGACATAAAAGTAGCAGCGCCGACATCTCGAGCAGCATCGGATCAGTGCTGTCTCACGTTCCCACCCGTGCGATGTGTGTCAGTGGTTTTAATTTATTTGAATCACACGTCAGCTAAGGCCTATACGTTGTAATTGATAAACCTCCTACTTTTTTAGTCCCCTCCCTGTCCCTACGTAGCCCCTGGACACTTGATCTGCTGCCTCCCACTAGAGTGCTGCTGTTTTCGGGATGTCCTACAAGTGGACCCCTCCTGTGTGTAGGCTTCTGTGTCTGCCGTCTTCCCTCGGCCTGGTGCTTCTGAGGCTCATCCGTGCTGCGCGGCTGTGTGGGTGCTCCCTTTGCTATTCCCGCTGGGCAGAGTGGTGTCCACGACTGACCCATTCACCGGTTCTCAGCCTTTAGGTTGAATCGCTTTTAGTCTGCAGGTTTCTCTTTCCATTTCTTTTTATCCCCTTGCAATGCATTTGTTGAAGAAGCTTATTCACTGGTTTGATGGGGTCTCTAGCATCCTGGGGGCTGACACTTGCCTCCCACGTAGTTGAGCACATTGCTCTGCTGTGTGCATTTCCTGTGGTTCAGCATAGAGGTCCACTCTGATTGTGGTGTATGTCCTAGGTGGTGCTGTGTGGGTCCATGACCGATGGCCTCTTTTGTTAATTTTTTTTTTTATTTTTGAGAGAGAGAGCACAAGTGGGGGCGGTGCAGCAAGAGAGGGGGACAGAGGATCAGAAGCAGGCTCCCTGCTGGCAGCAGAGAGCCTGATGTGGAGCTCGAACTCATGAACCTCGAGATCATGACGTGACCTGAAGTCGGAGGCTTAACCGACTGAGCCACCCAGGTGCCCCCACCAATGGGCTCTTTGGGCAATGCCCTGAACCCTTGATGCCTCAGGGTTCTAAAATGGCAAGTCTTTATTCCATCATTCCTTCACTTATTAGCTTGTTCCTAGTTCACTTCACTGGTTCCTTCATGTATGTATCCTGTTACTTGATGATCTAGTGGTTCAAGGATACGATATTGAACATTTGAGAAAGAGTCCAAACTAAACTCTCAGCCACCCCAGCAGGAAGCCTCCTGGTCAAGACCAAAGTATGAGCACATGAATCGGAAATATACTACGTTCCTGGCCTTCTGTTGAGCTTTCCAGAAACTTCCCCTGACAGTGTTTTTTGTTTTCCTTCCCTCATAGAATTCCAGTGCTGACCATCGGGTCCGACTGGACTTGGGCCTCTGGGACAAATTCAGTGAACTGGCCACCAAGTGCATTATTAAGATTGTGGAGTTTGCTAAACGTCTGCCAGGCTTCACCGGCTTGACCATCGCAGACCAAATCACCCTGCTGAAGGCCGCCTGCCTGGACATTCTGGTATGTGCCCTTCTGAACTCTTTGGGGGGTGGGGGTGGGAGAGCGGCTTTGAAGACCTCCAGAGGCTCTGTGCCCCAGCCTCTCCTCCTGCACACTGAGCCCCATCTTCCTGCCAGAACCTCAGGTCTGCCGCCAAAGGCTCAGACAGCCCCCCGCGAGTTGGACAGAACCTCCCACCTTCTCAACCCTGGTGTGGGAGCCCCCAGTGCCTGATCTCGGGGAAGGACCCAGCCTGGCTCGGTCACGCTTGCTTGCTCCCCCAAAGCCCCTTCCGTGGGCCGGTCTCATAGATCTTTGAAAAGCCATGAGGCTTCTCCAAGTCGTAAGGACTAGAGGTGGCACACCGGTCAGTGGCCGTGGGAAAATCGCTTCCTTCCATAGGCTTCAGTGTCCCCATCTGTGCAAAAGGAATGAGTCCCTGGGGCCTCTTTCACACTGTGGCTTCTAGAGCCCTAGAGAGGGTAAGAACACTGTCACACCATGTCCTGTTCAGGTCTGCTGGCCGGATACCTACCCTCTGTCTTCCTGGTGGGGATGTTAAGGACGATGTGATTAATTCTGGCTGGCTTGGTTTTCTTGGGCGGGGAAGCAGCTCCCATTGGAGGCCTCTGTCCTGCCTGCGGGGGAGGGGAGCAGAGTACATGCTGTTGGGCCTCTGGAGCAAGTGGGAGGGAAGGCTGGCCTGCAGGGATGCTTCAGGAAATAGAGAAAGTAAAATTAGCTTTTGAAGTGCTTTAAAAGCATAGATTTCTCTTTTTATTACGTCTTTCATAGCTTTGGGTATAAACGGTTCTGCAAAGCAAATATAGTTACTCACTGTAATTAAACACACAGTCCTGTTCAGGAGGAGAGAAGGCCTCCGTATGAGGCAGTTGTGCGGGAGGCGTGGGTGTTTACGCATCTTTCCGCTCACTGGCTGGACTTCATATGGTGCTTTTTCATCTTATGACATCAGGGGGTCTGGGACGAACCTAGGGACGTTCAGGAAAAAAAATGAACCATCAGAGTAGCATTCACCTGCCACCTCCCCATGCCCTGTAGAGGCTGTAAACCTCTGCTCCTTTGAGCCTCATGCACAACCCCGTCAGCCTGGCTGAGTATGGTGATTCAGCCCATTTTACAGATAAGGAGCTGGAGACTGGGTGAGTCACCCGGGTTGGGTGGGTGATTGCTGGAACCATACCCAAGTTCCACATCTTTTTACCTCAAAGCCATGAGAGGAATAGAAGCATAAAGGTGGGGGGCCACCTGGGTGGCTTAGTCGGTTAAGCGTCCGACTTTCCGCTTAGGTCATGATCTCGCGGTTCGTGGGTTCGAGCCCCGCGTCGGGCCCTGTGCTGACTGCCAGCTCAGAGCCTGGAGCCTGTTTCAGTCTGTGTCTCCCTCTCTCTCTGACCCTCCCCTGCTCACGCTGTCTCTCTCTCTCTCTCTCCTAGAAATTAAAAAAAAAAAAATTATAAAATAAAAAAAAGGAGCATAAAGGTGGGCACTGGTCTGAGAACCAGCCAGACCACTGGAGGTAGGTAGAGGCCACTTGAGCCAATCAATAACAAGGTTAATAATGAGCTACTGGAATCCTTAACACCAAAAGGGGTTATGAATGTCACCTAAGCCTCAGGACACCCCCGCGATATTAGTGGAGACTGGAGCTATCAGCACATGGGGAGAGGTGCCCCGAGGCCTCAGCGGCTGAAGGGCCTGGGAGGTGGCATGCAGCAGGTCGGGTCTGCACCCGGTGTGTGGTGGGATTCTGACTCCCCGCATCACACAGCCCACCGGCAGGGCCTGGAGCCTTCCTGATGCGTGGCCTCTGACTGCGCTTTTTTGCTCGTTTCTTAGTCTTCCTCTTGGGTGGCTGCCCAGTGGTGACAGGCTGTGGTTCCCTCACCTCTAGCCCCGTGGGAAACGTCGAAGGAGAAGGATACTTTGAGACACTCCAGTGGAGCATCCTGTTTCTACAACACCCAGTGCTTAATGGTCACGGTGCTTATCCCTCCTTAAAAATCCCTATCCACCTCCAGTAGCCATCTTCCCATGTCCCACCTTTACAATGAAACCTAAGCAGTCCTCTGGTTTGCCTGTGGGTCCAAGAATCAACCCTCAGCCCCTTGGTGGAAATAGGTAGAAAAGGAACCAGTTTGGTTTTTTTTAAGGTTTATTTATTTTTGAGAGAGACAGAGCATGAGTCAGGGAGGGGCAGAGAGAGGAGACCCAGAATCTGAAGCAGGCTCCAGGCTCTGAGCTGTCAGCCCAGAGCCCTATGCAGGGCTCGAACTCACATACTGTGAGATCATGACCTGAGCCAAAGTCAGATGTCCAACCAACTGAGCCACTCAAGTACCCCCCCCAACTTTTTTTAAGTTTATTTCTTTATTTTGCTAGAGAGAGAGAGGGAGGGAAGGAGGGAGAAGGAGAGCATGAGTGGAGGCGGGGCAGAGAGGGAGAGGGAGAATCCCAAGCAGGCTCTGCACCATGAACAGAGCCTGATACGGGGCTCGAACTCACAAACTATGAGATCATGACCTGAGCCAAAATTAAGAGTTGGACGTTTAACCAACTGAGCCACCCGCGACCCCAGGAACATAGTTTCTATGACCTTTGTCAAGTTACTCAACCTCTCCCAGCCATTTACTTAACAATATAAATCAATAAGGCGTTAACTAAAGTAAAGGTAATTTTTGACCTGGGCTTAAATACAGACATGAATATAAACGCGGGACATGTCGTAGATCTGCGGTCGATGGTGTTGAAATCAGGGACAAACTGTCATAAGTACATGGGGGCGATTTCCGGGACCTCTGTCAACCACCCCTCCCGGGCTCTACAGGCTTGAGGGCTTGGGGTTGGCATAGAGCAGCCGCAGGAGGAGACAGCTCTACCCGGGGAAGGGCAAAGCCCTCCGGTCACATGAGACATAGCAGGAGGAGTACTTACTTGGCCCCGGACAAGAGCTCGTTCCCAAGAATTTGTAGCAAAGGCAATTAATCACAAGAGCCTGAAAAATGCACAACTTCAAAGAGCATCTTTTGGATGAGAATTTTATCAACCGGCTGAGCCATTTAGAAGAATCTTCTTATCTAAGCCATTGATGTATGGAGAGAGTGAGACAGAAAGACCAGGAGGACCGACAGACAGACAGACACAGGCCGAAGTGGCTGTCAGCTCCTGGAAAGGAAAGTCACGGTTGTCCTGAGGGTGAGCAGCTCTGGCCCAGCACCGCGCAGTCACAGCCACCACGCATCGGGCTGCATGTGGTCCAAGACCGGCCTCTGTGTCTGACGCAGGGCTGCCTGTTGGGGCCTGTGCTGTAGCTGCGGGGACCTGGATTGATTTATAATCATGAGGTGTGAGCCTCTCAAGATGGAGGTCCGAGGGGGGAGAGTGCCCGTAGCCTGTCCAGCCTGCGGTCCCTGCCTCACTGCCCTCCAGAGGGCTCATCTGTCCCAGCGTCTGTCCACGGGGACCCGCTGGCGTGGAGGCCACAGCCAGGCTGCCGTCAGGGCTGGGGCCCCGCTCTGAGCATCACGGTTTCCCACGGGGGTCAGGGAGCCCAGAGGACTCTCCTAAGACGGGCCAGATCTTTGAAACCCTTGTGGACAGAAGTTTACCTTCTCACCCCAGAGTCGTGGCGTCCTAAGTCTGTGGTTCAGGACAAGAAAGGGACGCCCCACAGTGCTCCCTCGGCTGAGCTCTTGCTCATGGTTTCCTTCTTGCTTTTCTGTCCTGTTTCTTCTCGAAACTGCCTCTTCTCTGCAGGTAATTAGGATCAAGTCTCTCTCAACTTAAAAATCATTAAAAAAAAAACAAAACCCACCTTTGAGGCTGTCTGGCCTTCCGGTTGCTCGTCCCTCCTCCTCCCTGCTGACCTCCCTCCCTCTTACAGATGCTCACTGAGGCCCTGCCGTGTGCCAGGCACTGTTCTAGGCTCCGATGAATCCCTCCCCTCGTGGAGCTGACCTTGTGTTGGGGGTAGGTGGGTAATACATGAATAGACAAGGTCTTCCGGGGCCACAGAGAAGAACAGGAGCGGGATCCAGCCCGGGAGCGACTGGGGTGGGCGGGAGTTGACTTCTGTAGGTGGTTAAGGAAGCAGATGACCTTTGAAGAGACCTGAATGAAGGGCGAGACAGAGCTGGAACAGTCAACAGCACCAGTCAGAGACTGCGGTGTGCGAGTGAGGGGGACCCGGAGGTGTGACTGAAGGGCCCTGGGCCGGGGCGGCTCCCAGCTGAGGAGCGGCGAGGAGGGGACTGCGCCGGGAGGTGCGCCGGAAGTGAGGCGCGTTAGGGGCGTTCGTTGAAGCTGGCAGTGAGCGGGCGAGCGCATGACTTCGGGATCACAAGGGGGCTTCCGGGATATTTGTGCGTCTTCCCCGTGGTGCACCTGGGCGAGCTCCAGCGCGAGGTCTTCCCCGAGGGTCACGCAGGGCCTTCGTGGCGCCTGCCGCCCACCGCTCTCCCTGCCCCGAGGAGACGTTCCCACGCCAGCCGCAGCAGCTTGCTCTGGTGACGCAGAAGTGATGGCCCCACATGACTTCGGAACATCTTTTGTGGCTCCTGGGGTGCTGGGCACCATGTGGCTGCACAGCCAGGGAGGGCCGTCCCCACGTGGCTCTGTCGTCCTCCCCCCTGCCAGGGGCTCAGCAGGGACGAGGCCCAGCCCGAAGAGGCGCAGGCTCCGGTCCTGGAGCCCACAGCCTGAGCTCAGGCTTCCGCGTTGCCGCCGTCACCCGTGCCGCCGCGACGAGGCTCTGTGTCTGACACCCGGCTTTCTCACGCGTGGGTCCAGAGCCATTGCCCTGACCGTCCCCGGAAGTCCCCGCGAGGCAGTCAGCATGGTGGTTAAGGGGGCGGGCTCTGGAGCCAGACTCCCTGGGTTCAAATCCCGGCTCTGCCATGTAGACGCTGCATGAACTGAGGCGGTCGTGGGACCTCTCTACGCCTCCATTATCTGCTCAGTGAAGGGGTAGACTAGTAGCTCCTCCCTCGTTGAGCTGTTGGGGTAATTAGTTCAGTTAATGCATGTGGAACCCTTAGCTAGTGCCCTGCACGTAGTAAGCGTTTCAAATTAGCATCCTTTAAATTAGATGGTCGCTAATTTGTACTGTGAGCCCTTTACCCACAAGGGCGCATACGAATATACGCACCCAAGCTGGAGCTGTGCTACCCGGTTTGGCAGCCCCAAGCCACCTGTGGCTGCCGAGGGCCTGAAGTGGGGCTGGTCTGAAGAGCCGTGATTATAAACACAACACTCCATTCCAAGCACTTACTATTTAAAAACGTAAAACACCTCCTTAACGATTTTGTGTATCTACTCGTGTGAAAAATATTTTGAGTATATGCGGTAGCCCAGAAGATACTATTAAACGTAATTCCTCTCGTCTCTCATAACGCGTCCCCACGGTGGCTCCTCACGTGCCGGTGTCGCTTCAAGGGGAGGGGGGCCCCGCTCCCAGCACGGGCGTTTCCTCCTCAGGAGAGGCAGGCCGGTGGCAGCTGTCACTGGGGAAAACGTTTTGTTCCAACGAGCTCAGCATCAGAGGTGCCACGTACCGCCGGGGCAGACGCCCTCACAGAGCTGTGTGTGTGCTGCTGTCGTTGTCGCCACTTCAGCGTTCCCACAGGCACTGGAGGAGAGTCAAGTCAGATCAGGATCTGCCCACACGTCGCCAAATGCAATTAGTGCACAGCCTGAGATGCCTGAGCAATTTGAGCTGTTCCCCTTTGCCTGGAAGCTTCGGCAGTCCCTGGCTGCCCCCCTCAGGGGGTTACGAGGTGGGAGAGATTCCGAGGAGGGCGTCCACCTTGTTAATAATTGAACAGATATTCATTAGCCACCTGCTATGTGGACGACACTGCCCTAGATGCTAAAGATACAGCGGGGAGCACGTCAGATAAAGAGCAGCCTCTCTCTAGAAGCTCATCTTCTCCAGGGCCGGGGGTCGCAAGCTCAGAGAGGGCCAGTGCTGCTGGGGAAGAAGGCAGGGCGATGGGGCAGACTGGAGTACTACCCAGCAAGGAAGAAGCACCAGAGCTTCACGCACTACGGCGGGGAATGTCAGATATGATAGGGACTAAGTAAAGGCCAGGCACGGGAGAGAATATAGTGTAGGGTTCCATCTATGTAAAGTTCAAGAACAGGCAAAACCAATCTGTGGGAATCAAGGTCCAAATAATGGCTACTTGTGGGAGCGGATTGGATCAGGAGGGGCCAAGGGAGCCCGTAGGAGTCGGAACTGTCTGTGCCCTTGATCTGGGCGGGGGTACCCTTCAGGGAATACACGCAGCCATACACTTGAGCCGTGTGCACCCTCAAGGCCAGTACGTTGTGCTCATCATCTACGCTGCATATCAAGTTGCCACAGAACTGAGCAGTGATAAACAAGGAGCGTTATTGTCTCCCAGGGTCCCTGTGGGTTAGGAACGGACTCTGGATCAGGGTCATTCATAAAGTTGCAGGTGAGACACCGGCCAGGGCTTTGTCCTCTGAAGGCATGTCGCGCTGGAAGGGTGGCCGCGGTGGCTCCTACAGCTGCCTGGCAGGTTAGTGCTGGTCACTGCCAGGAAGGCTCAGCTCCTCACCTCGTGGGCCTTTTCGTGGGGCTGCCCAAGTGCTCTTGTGACACGTCAACCAAAAAGGAAACTTAGGAGAGCAATCAAGGAGGAGTCCCCGGTGCCTCGCCTCCTAGGACTTACTCTCCAGAGTCATACCCATTGCTTCTAGTGGATTCTGTGGTAGCATCAAGTCACTGGGTCCTGCCCACACTCAACGGGGCAGAGGAATGAAGCTCTACTCCTTAAAAGGAGTAGTAGCAAAGAATTTGTGGGCGTGTTTTAAAACCACTGCACAGGCTCTACCCCAGTTTTAAAACAATTTTTATATTTCAAAAAATAATGGGGTGATATGATAGAAAGTAATGGGTTTAAGGAAGTGCGTTCACTGTGCTTTGTGAGGAGGGGACATTTGAACTGAGCTCTGACTAGGAAGAAGCATGAAGGTCAAGGGAAAAGCATCAGAGACGGAACATAACAGCAAGTGCATACGCTTTGCTGCGACATTGAGTTGCTAGAGATTCAGAAAGGCCAGCATGGCAAGTGAAAGAGGAGCGGGGTTGGGGGGACAGGTGGGGGGCAGGCAGAGGCCACGACGCTGCTGTGGGAAGAAGTTTAAATGTCCTGGATCTAAAATGGCTCAGAGTCATTGGAGGGAGCTTAGCAAGGGCGAGGCCCCCTCTGGTGAACGTTTTGAACTGCGTGCTTTGGGTGTAGGACCGGGCGTGGAGGCCATCACTGGCCGAGAGGCGATGGTGGCTTGGATTAGAGCCGTCCCAGGGATGAGGGGAGTAGGGGACAGGTCCCTTCTCTGGCCCTGGGATCCCACGTGCTCAGATCCTCCCACGGCTCCAACCTCAGACAGTCTACTCCCAGGGGGCACCCAAAGGCAGTGGCAGGATACTCCGTTGTCCTTGCGGAAGGCACGAAGGCTGGGAGTCCTCCCTGCTCCGAAGAGCGTCAGGCTTGCCCCTCCGCAGAGCTGTGTGCTGCCCATCGGGGCTCTCCGTGGGTGGGTCAGCCTTGCTGGGGCTAATTTTACCCATCTCACGGGACCTGCGTGCTCCTCTTTCCAGATGAAATACCTGCGTTTCAAACAAAGGGCGTTTTTTAATACTGGCGAAGCACTTGGTAGTTGCCACTGGCATTCGCCTTTAACAAAATGAAACTCCTTGGTGTGTGTCCAGAGGCAGGCCTGGCCGGAAGCATTGAGGAGGCTGCCCGCTGCCCACTGCGTCGGCCGGGGAAGGGTGGGCGTGGAGGCTCCTCTGATAAAAGAAGACCTTGACCATTCTTCCATCTCAGGCCATGTGCCTTCCTCTCCAGACAACCATTAATACTGGGTTCTGGCTTTGAACTTTTCTAGAGAGAGAGGCAACAGAACATAGTTTCAACACTTTGTTAGAATCTAAACATTTTCCGACTTTTGAGGAGGGACCCCCTTCAGAATAGAAGAGTTCAAAAGAGAAGTCTGTGTGCTCCCGTTTGGACTTGGATTTCTAAGTGAGCTGTTGACAGCTTGTGGATGCCTACATCTTGGTCTTCTGGTCCTTTCCAGCAAATGCTGGTCTCTCTCATTCTTGCAGGGACAGCTGTGGAGCATTCACTTCTTGGCAGCGTGCTACAGCTACAAAGGTTTCTTTAGTACCACCTTGATTCCAAACTGGAAAAGCATCTGGATATTTCAGGCCCATAAGTGCCGAGCCTACTCGGCTTTGCCCATCGCGTGATACCTCCCTATGCAGGCATATTTCCTCGAGACCCTTCGGGCTGGTGGCTAGGAGTCGGGTGGTCCGCCCTGCCACCATTGCTTGTGTGATCTTGGGCACCCTACTCCCCCCGCCCCAGCCCTGCCACGGCTTTCAGCGGAGCTAAGTTTTATAACGAGTAACTCTTGGTTCCTTCTCTGCTCTGACCCTGGGAACGGCTTCATAGCCCGTCAGCTACTGAGATGAAGTACAACAGGTCAGCCACCCAGGGACCCAGAGGAAATGGCTCAGAGAGGTCCCTGGGCAAATACCTGAAAAGCAAAAATGGCCACCTGTCCAATGGAGAGGAATCTTTGTAATGTTTTAGTAACCACTCACACTCAGATGCTTTCCAGGTCACTGTACCACGTGACCACATAATAGGAATATTAAGTCTGATGATGTGCCCTTCTCGCCTAAAGTTTGTAAAATTTTCTATTTCCAGACCACATGCTGTGCACTCCTGTATGCAAGGTAGGTCACCATGGATAACTGTTCAGGTTGCACACTGCCCAAAGGCACCCGGCTCAGGAGACAAATGAGGCTAATATCCAAATTAATGCTAGGCCAGATGTCATCTCACCCTGGGCAGCTGAGGGGGGGATAGTGGCCTGGAGAGAGAGGATCAAGGCCGCCGTGAGGCAGAGGTTAAGAGCACAGGACAGTGGAGTGCTTAGGTGCTGGAGACAGAGAGCCTGAAGCAGGTCATGCCATCTTGTAGTTAGGTGACCAAGGACAGGCCATTTATTTGTATTTGTTTCCCTGTCTGTAAATTGGGATGACATAGTCCTAACTCCTGGGTTGATACGGGAATTAAATAATATGTTAACAGCATGGTACTAGCATGTAGTCATGGATCAATAAGACATTAGCTATTTTAAGTTGGGGTGGGAGTGCTAATCCTTCACCTTTCTCCTCTTAGGAGATGTTCTAACCAAGAGTCAGACATTTTTTAATCAA